GCTCTCATATCAGCGCCAATGCGTCCTGCTGGTGGAGACCTCCGGTTTGGGGACGCTCGATGATACGATGCACATCTTCTATCAGGTCAGGACATATTACAGTAGGACAAAACGAAGGGATTATCTATGTCAATAGTGAGCGCCGACTAATTGCAAGCTATCATGTCTATCCACTAACTAGCCCTAGATATATTTCCGCACCGACTACAATGGCTGCTGAGGGGACCCCTCAGCCATATTCAGAGTCTCGAGGGACTTTTGGCACGAGTCAACAACCCAGAACTAGCGGCAGCTGACCCGACTCGTATTGTTCATCGAGTTTTGCCCACAAATTTAAATCTGGAGATCAAAGAGGTCGTGACGAGGTACAAAGAGGGAGGCGCATTCGTGAAGTATGCACTTAAGTCGGACATCAGCCACGAAAGTATCGAAAATGCAATCAAAGAGCATTTGAAAACCAATCCAGTTAAGCCCTGGTTCAATCCGTTCCTGAAAGTCGATGCAGACCTTGTTCGCGGAACGCCTTGGATCGAAGATCTCTATCGAATCCCAAGCCAGACCCTAAAGGTGGAGTTCTTACCAACGTCGCCAGATAAATCAGCGGCCGAATTGACCCAAGAGTCTTTATACTCATTGTTCCGACCTTACGGCAAAATTCTGGACATCCAAACACAGCCCTCAGATTCGAAAGTCCTACCACGATATGCAATTCTGCGATTCGAGCGCCCTAGGTACGCCGTGATGGCAAGAAACTGCATGCACGGATTTATTGTTTCCGAAGAAGCAGGAGGTGGCAAGTCCGGTACGAGGTTCAAGATCAACTACGAGCGCAAGATCAAGCTGTTTATGATCAGGGATTGGATTTTGAACCATCCGAGACTAGTGATCCCTGCTATAGCTGCTCTGTTGGCTACTATCACGGTCATCATCTTCGATCCAATTCGCACGTTCTTCATCACTCTCAAAATCAAGTCGTCGTTCCAGAGTGAAGAGAACCCAGTGCTACAGTGGGTTCGCAAACAAGCCAGCAAAGCGAGCCTGTTCTCATTTGGGAAGCGAAAGTCAGACCCGCGAGGTCTAGCAGCTATCTGGGAAGACCGACAAACAGAGATTGCGCAACTGCAAGCCTGGCTAACGGAGACCGCGGAGACCTTTATTGTTATCCATGGTCCTCGTGGCTCAGGGAAACGCGAGTTGGTTTTGGAACAAGCCCTGAAAGAGCACAAGTATAAAGTCATCATTGACTGCAAGCAAATTCAAGATGCTCGGGGTGATACAACTAAGATTTCACGAGCAGCCGCTCAGGTCGGCTACCGACCGATCTTCTCTTGGATGAACAGTATCAGCAGCTTCATTGACCTTGCTGCACAGGGAATGATCGGCACCAAAGCCGGCTTCTCCGAGACTCTAGATGCGCAGTTGAGCAAGATCTGGCAGAATACTGGTGTCGCTATGAAGCGAGTCGCCTTGGAAGGTAGACGAAAGGAGGACAAAGATTTCAACATGTCCGAAGATGAGTACCTGGAGGCTCATCCCGAGGTGAGACCTGTCGTTGTGATTGACAATTTCCTCTATGACGAGGATGACAGTGTCGTGCTCGACAAACTTACCGAATGGGCGGCTGGTCTGACATCCGCAAATATCGCCCATGTCATCTTCTTGACGACTGATGCCTCGTTTGCAAAGCCATTGAGCAAAGCCATGCCTAACCAAGTGTTCCGCACAATTGCCTTAGGTGACTGCTCGCTCGAAGTTGGTCGTCGTTTCGTGTTGAGTCATCTGGATGCCGAGGCAGACGATAGTGACGATGAACAGAATGCAAGGCGCAAAGAGACGCTTCGTGGCTTGGATGCTTGTATCAAAGTGCTGGGAGGTCGAGTTACTGACTTGGAGTTCATGGCTCATCGAATTGAGGCCGGAGAGACACCTGAAGGTATGTTTATCTTTTTTTCTACCTGGAGAATTCTATTAACCATTGTATAGCTGCCGTGGACCGTATCATTGAACAGTCGGCGTCTGAAATCCTGAAGCTCTTCATCCTCGGAACAGAGTCAATTACACTCCAGTGGTCCCGTGAGCAGGCGTGGCATCTGATCAAGTCTATCGCCCACTCCAAGGATGGAAACCTGTTGTACAACAAAGTCCTCCTCGACGATGTATTCAAGGACAACGGCGAGGTCACTCTCCGGGCACTAGAGCAAGCAGAGCTTGTCTCCATCGGGACTGACAAAGGATTCCCACGATACGTCAAACCGGGCAAACCCGTGTATCGCGCGGCTTTCCAACGTCTGGTTGCGAACAAGACCCTGCAGGGCCGCCTTGACTTGTTAATCCTCTCACAGCTCATTAACAACGAGAATTCAAGTATCACGAAGTATGAGCAGGAGCTGCAGGTCCTTGGCTCACTGCCAAAGTACCCCTGGGAGCTAACGTCGCGGATCGAGTGGCTTCTGCGCAAAGTTCACGGATCGCAATCGAAGATTCTCAAGTATGAGAGTGAAAGTGCTGCCTTGTCAAAGTCTTTGCAGAAGGAATATTAAGCTTTTAGCTACTGTCTATAAATCTCGTCTCAATCTTACTCCGTTACTACAAAAAGTACTAAATCCAGTCCTTTCTTTGGACTCCTATTTAGATATAGATCTATTAGCGGTCTCGGCGAAGTATAAACGCGAACCAAGTGATATCAACTTTGATCCGACTATTATTATCTGAGAATCACCTATCATTATATAGAACGAAATCATAATATATTTTGAAAATGTTGACAACAAAAATAGAACCCAGCTGAGACCCTCGAGCTTAGTAAGCCAGAAAAAGGCCCCGGCCTCCGTTTGCCATCGTGTCCCTTCACCCTTCACCTGGATATATTAAATAAAAATCTCTGGAGTGAATCAATCCAAACTTGCCGGTCATACCTCTTTGTCTACCTCGAGCCCTTGAGTGGGTGCTGGCGCTGTAGAACCGTGCTACCTTGCTCGGCAGTGTTTGGTTTGGGCAACATCGAATCACAATGGAGAGGTACGAAGCCTTGAGTCTTATACAGACTGTCCGTGAGAAATATTTCGGTATAAGTTGGTCAACGGTTTTTGCTGTTGTGGTGTTCGTATGCCTCACAACCCGTATTATCTCGGGGCTTCGAAGTCGACGTGAGCAAGACCCTTCAAAATCACAGACGGTGCGACTAGCACCTTATTGGTTTCCCTGGATTGGACATGGCCCTGCCTTCTTATGGAATCATGTTACCTTCTTTACAAGAACTCGGTTGGTCTTCCACTATATTACCATCCTAGACGTCTGTTAATAGGATTATAGGGTGTCTATGAATGAGCCTGTCTTTGGCATTTACATTCGCGGTGTCAAGTACAATGTTGTGGCTTCTCCATCTATGATGAAGACTGTTTTCTCTGTCAAAACTGCCACGCCACGCAACCAGGTGCTCGATCAAGCTCTGCAAAACGTCTTTGGTGACCGCAGCCTCATCCGCAATCTGGATTTGGATCGTAACCAAGGACTTAGCGACAAGGCTACTACCATTCTCAACGAAAAGGCCTTTGTCACTGAAGCTTCGTCTACTATTACCCGTTTGGTGCAGCGTGACATGCCGAATTTGGTAAGCTTCTGCCGGAGCATTGTTGACCAATGCCCCTGGGAACGTGGAATCAGTGGAGTTGAGATGCCCGATGAAGGGGACCAGACAGTCTGTGAAGCCAATTTGTTTGCACTCGTGAGCAATTTCATTGGACACATCACTTCTACTTTCCTGATGGGTGGGACATTCGTGGAGAATTTCCCTAATCTCTCAGAAGACCTTGGAAGACTTGACGATTGCTTTGTGACATTGTTCGTCGGCACTCCTCGATGGGCCCCGCATCCAGCAGCCTCAGCAGGACATGCGGCTAGTGATCGGCTTCGCCATATCTTTTCAGTCTTTCACCGAGCTTTGACTGCTTGGGACGATGGGATTGACCCCGGCATTGAACTGCGTGATCTTGACGATGTCTCTGAATTGGTCAAAGACAGAATGCGGACTTTCCGCAAATTGGAGCTATCTCCAGGTGCCAGTGCTGCAGGGCACTTGTCTCTGTATTATGATCTGATTGAACACACGACCAAGATCACTTTTTGGACAATTACCCATCTCTTTGCGGAACCTTCACTTCTCGAGCAAGTCCGCAAAGAGATTGCTTCTTACGTGATGGCTTCCAGGCTAACTCGCGAGGAGACGGGTTTCCCCTTTGATGAGCCTCCTCGTCTCTCTCTGGATATTGAAAAAGTACTTACATCTTGTCCGCTGTTAAAAGCATGTTACTATGAGACTGTGCGCCTTCATTCAGCAGGAATCTCGTTCAAGAAGCTGGCGTCCGATGTGACCCTTTCCGAGTCGGCAGAAGAAGCGGCCTATGGCCTGACGGAGCCCCGTACATACAAGATTGCAAAGGGCGAGGATATCATTGTGCCCCATGGTGAATATTACCATGATGCTCGATACTTCTCAAATCCAGAGCAGTATGATCCCCTACGATTTCTCGTAACTGATCCTGCAACGGGAAAACAACGGGCTGATCAAAGCATCATTGCTCCCTTTGCGGACGGATTGTATGGATCGACGAACAATGGCCTCATCGAGCGAGCTATTTTGACTTTCACTGCTGGCATTGTGGCCTTATGGGATATTGAGCCCACAAGTGGTAAAATCCTCTCAGTTCCAGGACACAAGACTAGCTGGGGAGCTTTCCGACCGACCAAGGAGCTGCGGGTGAGGATGAAGTTGAGGGTATAGATTACATGGAAGTATTGCATAGCGTTTTATCATAGAGAGAGAGATCTTATAAATTTAATTCTATGTACAACCCCCTCGGCCCGGATTAATATCCGAATCGGGCTTGTTCCGATGACACCATCCACTGAGAGGAGGGGAATATGTAAGTCGCCTAACTCAGGTGTCTATACTTCCTCGATAGTCCTCTGTGGAATTGCTATTCAGAAGGAAATACAATAAAATGGACGAACAGGATTCCAATAGGGACTACGATCTCACAAGCCCAATCACTTCCACATCTGGACTTCGACAGGGTCTAACATCCTATGGAGATCCTCATTTCTCTCTCTTTCTCCGCAAAGTGTTTATCAAGGCACTTGGCTATTCAGAAGATGCGCTTTCACGCCCAATCGTGGGCATTATCAACACTTTCTCAGGGTTCAATCCCTGCCATGCCAATGTGCCCCAGCTCATTGAGGCTGCTAAGCGCGGCGTGCAACTCAATGGAGGACTGGCGATAGAATTCCCTACCATCAGTGTGGCTGAATCATTCTCGCATCCAACAAGCATGTTCTTGCGGAATCTTATGAGCATGGATACGGAGGAGATGATCCGGGCCCAGCCATTGGATGCTTGTATAATGATCGGAGGTGAGTTCCAATCGTTTTTTTAGTATTGAGAATAGCCACTGACAGAATTTAGGGTGTGATAAAACTGTTCCTGCTCAGTTGATGGGTGGTATCTCTGCCAACAAGCCAATCCTACCACTGATCACCGGTCCAATGCTGCCAGGGAGCCACCGCGGCCAGCGTATTGGAGCCTGCACTGATTGCCGAAACAATTGGGCAGCTTTTCGAGCGGGTGAGATGGACGTCGAGGAAATCTCGGCCATTAACGAAGAGCTTGCTCCGACGGTATGTGCAGATGCGCTCTTATCAGATACACGGTCATTTCCAAGGTCAGTTCACTAATTACAATCATCGCTCGCTCAGATAGGGACATGCGGTGTCATGGGAACTGCTAGTACAATGGCTTGTGTGACTGCGGCATTAGGAATGATGCCGCTTCGGGGCGCAACTGCACCGGCAGTATCATCTGCGAGACTGCGAATTGCCGAAGAGACCGGCGCAAATGCAGTTGCGATTGCAAAGGCCAAGAGAAAGCCACAAGAAATATTGACAAAGGAATCATTCTGGAATGCCATCACAGTGCTCCAGGCTATCGGGGGTTCGACAAATGCCATTGTTCATCTGCTCGCTATTGCAAATAGACATCCAGAACTGCAGGGAGTGATCACTCTAGACACTATTGAGGAGATTGGCCGCAAAACCCCACTGTTGATTGATCTCAAACCGAGTGGAGATAACTATATGAATGATTTCCACAATGCAGGAGGCATGATGGCGCTGCTACAAGTGCTTCGACCCCTGCTCCATTTATCTGCTGTGACAATTACTGGGCAAACGCTGGGCGAGGTCCTCGATGCATCCCAGTCCAAGAGACTTTCCTTTGCGCAACAGATAATTCGGCCAATGTCAGACCCTCTGTTTCCCGCGTCATCCTTGGCTGTTCTGCGAGGCAATCTTGCCCCAGACGGTGCTGTCATCAAAGCATCAGCGTCAAAGTATCGCCACTTACTATCACACACTGGACCGGCTGTGGTATTTGAGAATTCGGCCGACCTTGCTCAGCGGATCGATGATCCAAACCTTGTTGTGACGAAGGACAGTGTGCTGGTCCTGAAAAACATTGGCCCGATTGGCAACCCAGGTATGCCAGAGGCTGGCCTTATACCGATCCCAAAGAAGCTAGCAGAGGCAGGAGTGAAGGATATGCTACGACTTTCGGACGGTCGAATGTCAGGGACCGCGGGCGGAACCATTATCCTCCATATCTCGCCTGAAGCTGCGCTACCAGAGTCACCATTTGGCGTGGTAGAGACCGGTGACTTGATTATTTGCGATATCGAAACTAGGAAGTTGCACTTGGAAGTTTCCGAGGCAGTAATCCAGACTCGAATCGAGACACGCAGACAGAGTCTTGTGGGAGAGACGCAGGTAAGAAAGCAGAGGAGAGGCTACCGCGGGTTGTATGAGCGATCAGTGAATCAAGCACAAGAGGGAGCAGATTTTGATTTCCTGACAGCTGGAGGTGCTAGCACTTAGAGTCTATTTCAGCTACAAACTCAATATCGAACAATAAGATGGAATATCTGGAGAAAGCGGCCCTTACCCTAAGCCCTGAGCCCTATAATATTCCCCAATCGGGTTAAATCAATCAAGGCGCGTAACGCGGACGCGTCTGACCTTGTAGATCCCTGGCTATTCGTGATCCACCAGATCAAGATCGAACGATGCTCCAGGCTTTCTAGTTGCATCTTGATTGAAATATCTACGCCAAGCCTCGTTTGCAATGAGTTTCGACCCTCTTCGCCCGCGGGGGCGCCCAGCCCGTGAGTCATGCTGATGACCTAGAGACTACAATAGTTACTGACAAGGCGGCCTCCACATAGACACACCTGGCACAACGATACTGGCCTACACACCCGACGGAAGACGAATCATTACTGGTGGCTCCAACTCGGCTATCCGTGTTTACACGGTCGGCGAAGATGGAGAGCCCAAGACGATCGACGAAGGTGTTGACGCGCATTTCGGCATTGGTGCTACGGTATGTTGGAATAAGACTTACGATGCATCGAAGGAAAGGTCTGACAGGATTGCTAGAATCGGTCTTTTATCATGGGTGCCGAGGACGGAACAGTCTGGAAGTACGACATGATGTCGGGCAAAATACAAAACTTGCTTGTCCGATGTGCTTTGCCAGTCAGGGACATTGCAGTGACGAGAGATGGAGAATGGGTCGCAGTAGCAAGCGAGTAAGTGCTGTAGAGATTGTGCCAGACAGTGGATTGGATGCTGACACTGGTGGACTAGTGAGCTCACAGTCAAAATCGTGAAAGTCGACGACATGACGCAAGTCAAGTATCTCCGGGAACAGTCTAAGGGAACGAAGCATGTCACATTCGATCCCAGTGGCCGATATGCAACAGTATCCGGAACAGATGGAATCCTCTATATATACTCCATGCACGAAGAGGAGCCGGAGCTGGTCCGCAAACTCGATGGAGTTATTCGACGACTGGAGCCAGATGCCGAGGCGACATCAAGAGCAGTGTGGCATCCTGATGGTACTGCATTTGCTTCTGCGGAAGCGACCAGAGATATCTCGATCTACTCAACCTCGGAATGGAAGAAGGAGAAAACATTTGCTGGCGGTCATACCGGCGACGTTACGGCCTTGAGCTGGGCCCCGAACGGATCTCTTCTGGCGTCTGCAGCTGCAGATGGATATATTGTGCTCTGGGAAGCAAAGACGCAAAAGATCTTGCAGCGATACGAATTTGCAAATGTCTTGAACCTATCCTGGCACCCGACCAAAAACTCACTTTCATTTACAACTTCAGATGGAGAGCTTTTCATCTATGATAACTTTGTACCGAGGGATCACGAGTCTCTGCTGCAGAAACCGCTGCAGGCAGCTCCTATCTTACTTGGGCCTCTGGGCGAGATCTCCAACAATGTTGGGCGAACCACACTGACGGAGCGGTCCAAAGAGGCCATCCAGCGAGCCGCGAGAAGAGGGTCTCCAGACTCATTGGATGATATCCTTGGTGGAGATGACCAGATGATCGATTTCATCGAGGATGATGATGGGGCTGGCTATGCCGATGAAGAGTTAAATATTTATGGCAAGCGGCCCCACGATGATCTCGATGATCTCGGCGACACTAGTAACAAACGCCTCTACTCTGGCTTCGAAAAGCCCAAGGCCCATCTGCCTCTTCAACCCGGTAGCACGCCTTGGGCTGGGAGTAGGAGATATCTTTGTATGTTCTTGTTGCAACTCATTGGGGTGCATTTGCTAACTTGGCCAGGCCTGAACTTGACAGGAGCTGTTTGGACTGTGGACCAGGAGACACACCACACTGTTACTGTGGAATTCTATGACCGAGAGGCTCATCGAGATTTCCACTTCACTGATCCGTATATGTACGACAAGGCTTGTTTGAGTGAGTTTTCCGCTTACCCTTTTGTATTGGGTTTTTGGCTGATCGGATATAGACGACAACGGAACACTTTTTGCCAATAACCCTTCGGATGGCAGTCCGGCCACTATTTTCTACAGGCCACATGAGACGTGGACTGCGCGAGCGGACTGGCGAACCGAATTGCCCGAGGGAGAACAAATTCGAGGTAAGAATTCAAAGGATTACACAATTCACCTTACTAATGCTCGCTATCAGCTCTGGCACTCAGCGATTCATACATTGTCACTGTGACATCAAAGCACTATGTTCGAGTGTACACTCTCTTTGGGACACCTTTCAAGGTGTATCGACAGAAGAGCCAAGCCGTGACTTGCGCGGCCTGGCGCGACTACATTATGAGCATCGGCAACGGCCCTATAGGGATTGATGGCCACGCAACCTTACGATACACGGTGGAGAATGTCAAGCGTGACGAGATTTGCCAAAACGAAGACACTGTCGCTCTTCCAGAAGGGGCTTCGCTACAGAGTGTTTTTTTTCTCTGATAATGGGGTAAGCGCCATCTAAACAGAAGAGTTGGCTATGGAATTAACCATCTTCTTAGGATCCTTGTATATACGAGTCGACTGGCGTCCTACTAGTTCTGCAACACTGGCGCACATCCGGCCAAGCCCGATGGGTACCGCTCCTGGACACGAAGCAAATGGCACGTCTCGCGGGAGGGCGGAAAGAAGAAACATACTGGCCGGTGGCTGTCGCACAAGACAAGTTCCACTGTATTATCCTCAAGGGTGGTGACAAGAACCCTTACTTTCCACGGCCGCTGCTCAGTGAATTCGACTTCCAGATCCCGGTTGCCAGTACTCTTCCGAAAGATTCCAGCGAATCCGGAGACACGGCGGCTGAGGGCGCTCGTTTCGAGGAGTCATTCGTACGTGGAAATGTGCTTTTGTCGCTCTTCCGCGATCTTATCTCATCGACCAATGCGACGGCAAGCCAACGCTCTGACTTGGCGCGGAGGGAGCTCGAATTGGATAAGAACTTGCTGCAGATGCTGGCCATTGAATGCAGAGAGGGCGAGGAGCGTGGTATGAAGGCGCTGGAGCTGGTGGCCTTGATGACGGACCGCAACGGTAAGATGCTCGAGGCGGCTGCTAAAATTGCACAGCGTTATGGACGTGGCATTCTTGAGGACAAGATCCGCGATCTGGCTGAACGACGTGTCATGGGAATGGGAGACGATGATGAATTGGCTTGAGGTTGGGATTACGAATAATACTTTTAATTAGTCCCCGGGAAGCTGTAGACCTGTCACGAATCGTCCTAGTCAGTAAATACAAGTTGTATAAAATTGTATACCAGAGCATCGTGATTGGCTCCCACAACGTCATTTTCCCCGACTCTCCGACTCCGCGACTCCGACCAACTTCAACCTTCCACTTATCTACATGGCTTGACAACATACTTTTAAAATGCAGAATGCCGAAGCTAGTCTCTCTGCGCACGTCTCTTCTCAATCAGCCGAAGAGCCCTGTCTCTGGCCGGCTTTTTGCTTCGGTTTCGCGACAGCGACTGGCGCAACTTCGTCATGGCCTTCTCAGTGAGCCCTGGTTGACCTCAACTTCAGTTGCACCTTTGCCAGTGACATATTTCTCCCCGGCTTGGGTGCGGAGGGAGCATGTGGAAGGCCTTAGGAGAAACGATCACCAACCGCCAGATGAGAGAACCTTGAAACTCGGAAAGAGTATGTACTTACTGTCTCCTCATTCACTTTCCAAAAAGCCGTTCAACTAACGATCAAAGCTTTACGAATCCTGTCACCCCTTTTACCGACCATCTTGTACAATACCTTACCTACCGAAATCCTCGCCCCGAGTGTCAACCTTCACCTATTCCCATCCACACATCCACACCTCCCTACCGTCAAAGGACGCACACTATATCGCGCGGCATTATGGACTGTCCCGGTAGCATGGAGCAGCGTGCCACTAGTCGGCAATGTGAAATTGCAGATTCTCAGCGAAAGGATCGTACGAGCCGGGACGCTACTCGACCCCACGCGTCACGGCGCCCATCACGACTGCGGCGATGAGCGCCTACTAGTACGGTGGAAAACTGAGCCACGAACAGAAAGCCGCCCCTTCCATGGCCCAGCCTCTTGGAATACCAATTCTACAAATCCCTCGAAAAATGCCCCATTCTCACAAAATAGTCATCTCTCGAACTCCACAAAAGGCACCAACAATGGCTTGAGTGTCCTTCTCGGTGGTGAAGAGCCTATCTTCAAGTTGTCAAAGGAAGAGCAATTCACCGGCATCTTTATCTTTTCTTTCGATGAGGAGGGTCGCATCCTGACCCATACTATCGAGCACGCCGATGAAGCGGACGGCTGGGACCGGACTGCTAAATTCGTGACTCTCACTGACTGGCTTATTGGCAAGGCACGTGGCTCGTTGGACCCGGCTGCCAATACTGGACTTGCCATGGCGACTGGTGAGAGTCATGGGCTTGCTTCCAACAGTGGCCGGAGGTCGTGACTTCACCCTCATATTCGATCATAACTCGAGCGAATCTCTCATCAAATGAAAAATCCCGAAGACAAGAAAGAATGTACGATGACTTCTGTGTTCATATTCACATTCTTGCTGTATTGTGTCTTTTTTATAGCTCGAATATGTTTTCTTACTCAAGGCGTAACGGCGCCTGATTATGGGTGTCGAAAGATGGGCTGTTTTGATATTGAACTCCTCTCTTTCACTTGACTTGTCTGTTGGAAACCTTGAGACATACTATCGCCACTCTTCTATGTATTATACCCTGTTACGGACTTGAAAAAGCCAGACAGCAATGATAAAATCACGGAATTGTCGTTTTGTAGGAATTGTGCCACATCGTAGTCTGCTACCCGTTATCCTCCTAACTATAACACCGAGAAACATGTCCAGACTGAGTGAAGAATAGCAAGCTAGAAAACGCAGAGATATTTTGGGGCTGATACTGATAAGTTGATGTATTAAAAAGGAATAGCAAGACATTGTGACCATTTTTTATTGAGTATGCTTCTATGTACATTATTCAGTCTTTTTATGCACAGCAGGCGACTTCAGCAAGCTGAAAGCTGCAACTGTGACGACACACATGGCGAACCCGCCAGCAGTATAAGCAGCCTCACGGCCAGCCCACCAAAACAGAGAGCAGAACACAATAGGACCAGTCGCCCTGCCAGCCTGTCCCCACCCCCGCAAACCACCCATGACCGCGCCGCGATCCGCATCCTGTGCCTCGAAGCTGCCCAGGCTGTTGAGTGACGTAACAACCGTAGCGGTCGTTACCGCCAACAAAGCACCGGCGGCATAGAGAGCTGAAGGTGAAGAAACGCGAGCAAGGCAAAAGAATGATATGGTACAGGCCACGACACCGGCACGGAGGGTGACCAGCGGCGGGAGACGGCGCACCAGGGTACCCTGCAGGAGAGAGGCGATTAAGCCCATCAGGGACAAGAGACGTCCGTTCAATGCAGCAGGGCTGACTGTTGTGGCTGATCCCGCGTAGAGCGTTGTAGTCAAGAAGGGAAGGGAGAACTCCAGACCGGAAAATGGGAGTAGGAAGAGGAAGTGGAGGGTATTGAGAAGGGCCGGATTGTTTGTATGGGTGCGCTTAGCGGGAGCACTGCTCCTATCTTCAGTTTTCTTACCCAACGCATCATTATTCTCGGTGGAGGTACTTTTGCTCTCCATCTGAAGCGTCGTCAATCGGGGATGCGTCTCGGGCAAACAGGCCCAAAGATACACAGTCTCAATAAATATCAGAGCAAAAGACACAATTGCAGCGACGATGAACGGGTTTTCGGCAACCATATTGATACTGCTAAGCGCCACACCCAGCGCCGGCCCGAAAGTGAACGCGACACTGAAACAGGCCCCGACTAATGCCATAGCAGAGCCGCGGTGCTCCTCGTCTGTGATATCCGCCACTATGGCGTTGACCATTTGCACATTTGCCTCGCTCATCCCCCCCAACGATACGACTGGCGAGGAATGTACGGAAGTCCGTAGCTGACACCCACAGCGCGACGCTCAAGAGGTTGCCGAGCATGGAGATGAGCAGGGTGCGACGGCGGCCATGACGGTCTGATAGGCGGCCTATGACGGGTGCAGCAAAGGCTTGAAGGAGGGAGAACAAAGAGCCGAGGGCTCCACCGAGGAGTACAATGTCATAGCGCGAGTCAATGGGGCGCGCAAAGGAATTTTTGTAGGCGTTTAGGTAGTGGAAGATGCGGTTGAGGAGGGAATCGGGGGATGGATCTTGCGCGTGATAAAACGATAGCAGCGAAGGGAAGAGGGGCAGAATGAATGTAAAGGAGATCTGAAGGCATTGTTAATTGAATAAATGTGATTGTTGACTTTAGATGGGTACCTTGATCTTACCAAATCTAACAACAGCGAGAGCATCAACACCTTCAGCACCCCCTTACGTTGGGCGCCAGCGACGGCCATTGTTGCTGGTGCCGTATATACAATAGAAGATATAAGGAGGAGGGCGGAAAGAACCAAAAATGAGCAGAAGGACAAGAATCTGGGGAAGTTGACACTTGACACTTGTGCAAGAGCACAAAGACCATTTTAATCAGATTGAATACGCCAGGAGCTCCACTGGGCGTCGGTATGCATTTCCTATTGTGGTTTAGCGCCCTGCGCTAAAAACGGGTTTCATCTTAAAACACGCTAGTAATAACGGAACACGCCTTTACAAGCGCATTTCAAGCGTATTCCGTTATTTTCATTATTTTATGCATAATTGCCCCGCACTTGATTCGGTCTTGTGTAATATCATTACATTACGCCAAGCTAGTTACATCACGTGACAGACTATGGTACAATACTACATCTATAGTAACTAGTTAATTATCATATGCCATTGACTACTATCCACGTATTCAAGTAGTAGACCTAGTAGACCTTATTTCCTTCAACTAAAGCGACCCAAATCGTAAAATACGGGTATCTACAGCAAGTCCTGGAAAGTAATAGTGCACTCATTATGATCAATTTCGATCTATGCCCGACCTAAGCCCTCCGTTCACAAGCGCCGATAAAACAATAGCATAGAATACATATGTATGTCGTGAGAGAAGCTCTCTGATGATCGGGAATATGCACGCTGAAAAAAATTGCAGGACATGGTCAAGAAGACTTTGGCAAAGCCAGACGAAGAGATCAAAGTGACTCTCCGTGAAGAAAATTCGTTGCGTTCGTGAGCCATCACATCGGACCAGAAATCGCTGAGGCCAGTCCCGGAAAGACAGACCTAGAATCTCTCGTCGGAACATCGACTTCGAAACAAGATCCCAAAACAGCATGTTCCAACTGACATCCTAAGATTGCCACTCTTACTCGCTGGAGGCGGGAGCTTCCGCTGAGCCAGAGGCAGGACCGCTTGTACCGTTTCGACCACGTCCGCCGCGACCACCTCGTCGTCCACCACGTCCACGACCTTCGCCGGTACGACCTTCGCCGGTACGACCTTCACCAGCACGACCTTCACCAGCACGGCCTTCGCCAGCACGGCCTTCGCCAGCACGGCCTTCGCCAGCACGGCCTTCGCCACCGCGGCCCTCACCAGTACGCTTAGCATCATTTCGGCCTCGGCCACCACGGTGTCCCTGTCCGTGACGGCGGCGTCCACCAGACTTGGCAGCGTTCTCGCCTTGAGTCGAAACATCAGCGCCAACGGAACCGTTGTTCAGACCCGCATCAGCGCTAGCTGGAGTAGCCTGAAGGCCAGTGTCGGTCTCATCTGGATTGCGAGGAAGCTTGACCCATTCGCTACTTTCATCGGAAGTAGGAGCCCAGGTTTGCTCCGCAATAGAGTTTGCAGCATCAGAAACCAGAGTCTGCGCAGGAGGAGCCAACTGGTCCGCTTGGGAAGCTGCAGGCTGGGCCTCGGCGCCGAATGAGGCATCCTGGAGCTCGGTCAGTCCTGCGTTAGCCACGGTAGGGTCGGTCGTAGGGTTGGTGGCGAGGGTTGCCTCCGAGGCAATTTCGGGAACCTCCTCAGGCGGAGCGAACTTGTCGGATGCTTGCTTCACGTCGCCATCTAAATAAATATAATGTCAGCAAGCACATTCAAAGATATTCAGTGAGGGTGGGGCTGGGAAATTCATTACTGACAGGTAAAATCAAGAGTGGTGCCCTCAACAGCATTGACCTTCTCATCGGCACCCTCAGCAATCTTCAGAAGCGAATTGATTGCAGACTGGTTGCCAGCGTACACCTCAAACAGAACACCCTCGAAAGCACGGCTCTCGGTGGTGATGGTGTAACCGTCGCGTCGAAGGATGGCCGCGGCGCACAAGAACTTAGTCACGGTATAGAGATGCTCGCGCAGTGCCTTCTTGGAGGCCTCAGTCGCATCAGCAATGGCGTTATTACGGACAGCTTCGAGCTCCGCCTCATGCGCCTTGACAAGCGCAGCCTTCTGAGCAGCCAGACGGTCCTCGTATTGGACAGCAAATTGTTTGTAGTGGCCAATCTGCTCCTCGGCCTGAGCAACGGTGGCTTGAAGGGAAGGCCTCTTCAGGACCTGTGCCTTCTGGTCGTTGTTGATCTTCTTCTCCTCGATCAGTTCATCAAGCGACTTGTTGGGGTTCTCGGCGATGATGGCGTCGACTTTGGCGAGGGAGTTCTAGTCAGAAAAATAGCAACGTTAGAAATGTGTCAATGGAAACAATCGAAACCAAAGCATCATTCGAAAATAACTCACCAACTTCTTCATGGCATTGCGAAGTGTTCTAAACAAAGCAGTTAGGTCACTTCCACTTGCGCATAGGCAATAACCACGCCACTGGGTTCATAAGATTTTGAACATACTTCTGCAGCTCCTTCAAGTAGGTACTCTCTTGACCTTCAGAGTTGGGGCCCTCGGGGTCCTTGGAGACGCTTGAAGCTCGCGAGCCCTTCTCCTCGTCCTTGAGCTTCTGGGTAGCGGAAGTGGGAGGCATGATGGGAATGTGGGTAACACAGATATTAAAGTATTTCTGAAAAGCTTGTACAGGTCTGGAATGAAGGATTAAACGCGATAACGTTGAAGGAAAGACGTGTGTTATGAAGGAAGAATCAACATGCGGGTCGGAAAGCCTTTGGTCGGTGTGGCCCACTGGCTTTAAGTAGACTCTCTCTCTCTTTCGACGCGTGCGTAGCGCGAAGCAATTAAGCAATCACAGTACTATCTATATCTTTAAACGCGTAATTTATGAGATAACTGATCTGTTGGTTGTGATTTATTCATTTCTTCTATTGTATTGCTCCAGGGTATCATATTCACATTCGCCCACAACGCCATAATATCACAAAATGCAAGCCAGTCTTAGTACAGTATCCCCTCGTCTTTCACAACCATGCTAGGCAGGTATTTGCCATAATGGCAGACCGAGGTTATGTTCTGAGCTCTTCTATCCCTGGAATTTGCGCAGTGTTTTCTAAAAAAGCCCATACTTGTCAGCTGTGTGTTCTCACGAGTCTTCCAGAGAAGCTCTTAGATCGACCAAACGCACCTCAGTCACTTTGCGCACGGTATTCGCTGAAATGTTTTTCTCGCCAGACTTGCGCGACTGAATCGATGCCTCGCGCATTAACCTATAATGTGTTAACTTACCGCCAGTTCAATAATGTCGGCAGTGAGAGCGCCAATTGGGTTGCAACCGCCACAAGGATAGATGGAGACATACTCTTGCATGAATAGCATATAGTCTAAGAAGATCTATAAAGGTAGTATTAGCAACTGGATAAGAGAGGGGATATCAGGACGACCGCGTACCAAAATGTCGGCATTCTTGCTCACGCTCCGATTGGAGTGGGCTTTGACAATGCGCTTGACTGTTCCTCGTGGGTAAAGTTTTTGAGCTGCCGCCATAATGAGTAGAATATAGGAGATGGTGAAGTCGAAGACAGTCGTGTGCAATGTTCAATGTTCAATGTTTACCCCCCAGAAAGGATGTGGGGGAGCTAATCTGACCGAATGCCGTAATGATCTGTTCCTTATGTAATTTGGTATTTGCATGTCCCAAACATGTGATGTACCTCGATGTAAGAGAAATCTTTATTATTTACATCTTTATTGCAACTGTATATTGCTAATGTACACTTCAACGCAGTCGTCGAAGAATTCGCCAGGCTGAAATACCAACAATTGAACCAATGGCTACACGCCAGGCCAGGAAAACCCAGATTGCCATGCGCAAGCGGTCATAATACCCGCGCAGCATGATTCCAACAGCATAAGAAGTCCCATCTCTTGCTTGGTCGGTCGGACCATAATATCTGCCTACTCCAAGACCACCGATGCCCACTTCATTGTGATCATGTCCGAGATCCGGCTCCTGTGTGACTGAGAGTGCGGCCGTTTCGCTATCAGCGGCCGTGTTACTAGGACGAGCACCCGATCTCACATTGAGCGCATTACGCTTCCGTAGATTATAAGTCACAATGCTTACAATCAGCCGCAGATCCGGCACGGTAAATGTTGGATATTTCCACAACTGCACAGCTTGGTGGGGAGGGAGCATATCCAAGAAGTCGGCCAGGATGCCGAGGGTGAGACCCCAGAGGAGCAGCGGACGGGCAGCATCACTGGACTCCGCTTGCCCACTCAGACACCATCCCTTGAAACGTTGGAGCAGGCCAGGTTGGAGTGTATTCTCTTCGGGAACAAACCCTGGAGTTGTAGTGCATTGATGGGTTTCCGACGGGAGGAGCCTCACGGCCGAGAACTGCATCCAGCCCATAAGTGACCGAATTGCAATACGGGCCAGAAACCCGCCTTGTCGAGCGAAGCGCTGCGACATATCCACATATTCCACGGTCCGCAGCGACGGTGATAGGAGGGCGCGCAGGGGAATCCAATGTGTCGACGCTACTTCCGCGGGCTGTAATCGAAGTGTCGGGGAGTCGCTGCGAGTTGTGAGAAATACAAAGGGACATAGAACCATCAAGCTGCGAATTCAAGTCAGTAATCCAATTCTCAGCGGCGAAGGTGAATGGCATTCGCACGGTTCGGACCCCCAGCTGGTAGTGACCAGCCGCTCAGGGAGGTTGCCCACACTAATGGTATCCTCCGTTGTCAAATCCAATCCAATTTCCTCTGAAGCTTCCCTGATGGCTACAGCTTTATCGTCTGCATCTTCCGGGTCTCGCTTTCCGCCCGGTAGGGCAACATGACCAGTCCATCGGTCACCCACGCGCGAAGCACGCTTGATGAACAGAACCTCCGGTTCGCCATGCTGGACCCATTGCTGTGAGAAGAACTCATCTAAACGTTGTGGAACTGGCTGGGAAGCATCTTTTGTGGGGTTTGAGTTGGGCCAATGGTCGTAGGTTGGTCGTACCCGAATAATCAAGGCAACCGAGGCGCGCTTGTTGCAGGTTGGAGGATTTGGGACGTAAGGATAAGGTTGACGATGTAGCTCGGCTAATACGCCATGCAGATTATGGGACAGACC